CTCAAACTTTCCATACAATCTTACATTTATTTCATTTTATTATTATTGTAATTATTTTCATTCCCAGGCCTAAAGTTGATATTGAAGTTGATGCTATGATTGAGTCTTCGTTAGCCGGAGAGGCCAGCCTAGTAGTCCTTGACATACTAGAACTATTGATCGGTAACACTCTCCACATTGAGAACCTTCAGAGTGTCCTGGGGAAGAACCTTGAAGTCCTCCTCCACCTCATGCTCTGCAATCAAAGCATTGAAGTCTCACGCTGTGTCTTTGCTAGTCAGAGAGCTATTGTACGAAAGTTCCCTGAACTGATACTCTACGAGGAGACTGAACAATGCGCTGAGTTATGTGCTAGACTCTTGAAACACTGTAGCTCATCAATGGCTGATGTGAGGGCTTGGGCCTGTGCTTCTCTTTATCTACTGATGAGACAAAACTATGAGATAGGACAAGTGAGGGCTGATATTGAACAAATGTATCTACATGTACATGTCATGTACTTTTTGATTGATTATTGTGAAACAATGAAGGATTAAACTCGTGTAATTTTTAGTTTTAATTTTTGTTTTTTTTTTTAGAATTTTGCTCGAGTTAAAGTTCAAGTCACGGTTGCTCTCTCTTCCATTGTTGCTGGTTCCACGGTAAAGGAATGAGTATGAGTGTTTGGGAATGGAATATAAGAGAATGGGAACGGACTATTACCTTATAGCATCAAGAGAACAATAATGAGTATTACTGGTATGTTTTTTCTTTTTTTAGAAATCGTTCAATGAGCATCATTTGCGTCGATCATTAAAGACACTGATACTGTATGCTGAAGGAGATGATGATATGTATCAGACTAGCTTCCCTGAACAAGTAAACAACAACAACAACAACAACAACAACAATAATAATAATAATAATAATAATAATAATAATAATAAGAATCATAATGATAATGATAATAATATTGATGCTAATATTTCTTTCATTAGGTGAAGGAGCTTGCTATTAATCTTCATCGTATTCTGTTGGATACTGTGAAAATGAAGTCATTCCAAAACGTACGAATGTACATGTACATGTATATCTAATATATTTAATATTTAAAATGTCTCTTTTCTCTCTTCTCTGACAGGATCATGAGATGTTAATGGATCTGATGTACAGAATATCCAAAGGGTAAGAGAGAGAGAAGAGGAGGGATTCATGTACATGTACATGTACATATAAAATTATTTCTTTCTCTTATAGTTATCAAACTTCTCCTGATCTTCGTCTCACGTGGCTACAGAACATGGCCAAGCAGCACAACGAGGTACTCCCCTTAATTTAACCCTCTCTATTTAATGCCCACCCACAGAAAGATCACTATACTGAGTCAGCAATGTGTCTGACCCATGCAGCTGCTCTAGTGGCGGAGTATCTGTACATGTTGGACGGGTCACAGCACCTTCCGGTCGGCTGCGTCACGTTTCAAAAAATATCACCAAACATGTTAGAGGAGAGTGCAATATCTGATGATGTCATTAATCCGGTGAGCTAGCCACACCTACTAATTAATAATCATGTGACACACCCACTAATTAATATTCATCTGACACACCCACTAATTAATATTCATTATAGGACGAGGAGGGTATTGCTACCAGTAGATTATTCACAGAGTCTGGACTCATTGGATTATTAGAACAAGCAGCTCCAATGTTTAGAGAGGTACGTATCACATGATCGTCACATGACAAGAAATAATACATACACTTGTACATATTCATTACCTTGACTCTCTCTCTCTTAGTCTCAGTTATATGAAGCAGCTGCTGAGATATATAAGTTAGTTATTCCGCTGTACGAGCACAGGAGGAAGAACCACAGTTTAGAGTCGGTTTATAACAAACTCTCGGACTGTTACAAGAGCTT